AAGTTCTCTGTGGGTCGGCTACGTGCGGTATTAGGTCACAATGCAGAGGAGTGCCCCCTGGCAGTGGGCAGGCCCCACAGCACACAGGACGGCCCCACCCAGGGACCCAGGGAGGGACGCGCCCGCTCGAGGGCAGAGAAGCCCAGAGGAACCGGCTGGTCCCACTAAAATGGATTTGAATTGTTGATTTGAGAGTTTTCATTTAACCCCGGGAGGCCATGAGGAACCGATTCTGAAGAGTTGCCAACCCAGACTAGACATTCCTAGACCTCGCGCTCGAAAATGCTGGAAACTAAAGAGAGAGCCAGCCCCTCTGCCCAGCTCTATGTTCAGGACCCTTTGCGTGGCGGTCGATACATTTGATTTTAGTCTGTGTTTTTAGAGCCTCTTTTATTTCTCTGTAAAAACTGCCCTGGCTGTTTGCTTTGCTCTTTAAATGTGGGAATCCTGAGGAGTGTTAGGCGGCTCTTAGGGGGAAGCATGAAGGTGAGTGGGGCGCGGCGGCACCGGCCGCCTCCTGCGTCGGCACAGGCTGCGAGGGAACCTCCACCCAGGCTGTCTAGGAGGAGGTGCAGGGACGGGGCTGGCCGCGAGCACCCACTAAAGGGTGGGGAGCAGTAGACGGGGTGCGCCATCGGGTGGGCCCCCCTGCTTGTCCATCGAGAGAAGCCAGGCCACATTTTGTCAGACCCATTAGGCTCGCGTCCTTGTAAAGGGAGTCAATCACTGGTGCTTTGTGGGGCGGGCAAGCGTTTTCATTAAAGGAGGACAGAGGGCTGTGCTGGCCGGCGGGGCTGCGGGCGCTGCCTGTCCTGTGGGCGCCGGTCCTCACTGGGACACGGGCGAGAGTTGGGATGCAGCCCGCACACCGAGCCTCCCGAGTCACACCGACATCATGAGAGCTGAGTTGGGGTTTTCTCCCATGGAGCGTGGCTCTACCCAGAGGTTGGGGGCCTCGTGCCCCTGGCCCCAGCTGGTGCCCAGTCTACCCATATCCGTGCCCAGCTGTCACCCACAGTGGGCTGCGCACCCACCTGAAGGCAGAGCCAGGAACCCAGACAGACTTACCTGTGCCGCAGCCGGCGCCCGCCCGTGCCCCTCTGAGCAGACCCCCTGTCCTGCAAGGGCTCCTGGCCAGCCCAGGTACTGTGCTCACGGCCGCCGGCCGCACGCGGGAGGAAGGCTGGGGCCGCGTGGAAGCGGAGGTGCCTGTGGTCCTCACGGAAGCCGAAGCGTCGCTGGGAAGCAGCCTTTATATCTGCAGGCTCTGGGGCTGGGCCGCCCATGGGCTCTGGACGCTGGGCAGCCTCCCTCCGCTGGAGGCCTCCCTCCGAGAAGGCCAGGGTTAACCCTTTTTCTGCCGGCCTTTTCCCTCCCGCACTGGCAGTGAGCTCAGGCTTAAGTCCCACTGCCTCTTTCACCCACTGATGCCGTTTTTTTACTTTGAAGGGATTGTAAATAGGTTTTGTCTGTCCTTTAGATAATAACCTGTCACCATTTGTTGAAACTTTAAATAGTCTTGCTTGTTTTAGCAACTGACTGGCCTTAAAACTAAACACTAAACGGTCTCAGCTTGGAGATAGCATGTGAATTATATGCAGAGACTTTACCTGGGAATTGCATAGACATTCGCAGAAAAAAACTTAAATTTAAGAAATAGCAGGTATTTTGGCAAGTAAATGAGGAATTGGATTTGTTTTTCTGCTCTCGATGTTAGCCATGTCTCAGCTCCCCCTCCCCTTGCTGGCAAGCCACCTGTGTGGACCTGAGACCGACTCCCCCCACGGCCCGAGCCTGCCTGAGGGACCAGGATAGAGTTAGCTCGGTTCCCAGTGCCCACCTGCTGGTGGTCAGCATGGTACCTGGAGAAGGGCTGGCAGAGCGGGGCCAGGAGGCCGATGGCCCAGGCGTCCAGGCATGCGGGATGCGGGGGTCAGGGTGCAGGGACTGAGGGCCCTCGTGCGCCGCGTTCGGCGGTTTCGTAAACATCACATCTTAATGGGTCTCGTCCTTCCTGCCTGGTGTCTTCTTTACCTTTGCAGTTTGTTGAAAGCGGGCGGTTGCACTCTGGTGATCTTTTGCGAACTGAGCATGAATCATCAGCTGCTGCAGCACCGGCACCGCAGCCGCGTGCGCTTCCCAGGGACGCAGGCCGTTAGGCTTGATGCCGGCCTGACAGGCACGGGCACTGAGTCCTGCAGCCCAGGCGGCCAGAGTGCGTGCCACAGCTTCCTGTTGTGCACGAGTCGATGGCAGATGCGCTGGGAGGCCTTCTGCATGATGATAACCACATTCTCTCAGAGACGGGTTCTGGGAAACACAAACCTGTTTGCAACAGAGAATTCTGCATGCGTTTCTATGGAAAAGCACTGACGCCGGTCCTCCCAGCCTGGGGTCCCAGCGTGATTCCACTGTGAGCTTCTGACCCTCCGAGGGACGCGGTCGCGCAGGGACGGTCGGATTGTAGGCACACCTCGGGCCGCAGCGACGCCAGGCGGTCTCAGCGCTGCCGCCTGAGCCACCATTTAGAGGGAAGGGAGCCCCGAGAAAGTCCAGCTTCCTCTGCAGCTAAGTAAATAAATCGAAGCCAAACCTTGAAATAGCCAAACATGTCCCTTAAAATAGCTGCTTGCCACTCGCGCTCCCTTGCCTGTCCCAGCGCTGCCCGGCGGCTCCGGAGGCCACTGTGCCTTCGAGTTTGCCCTGGGTTCCCTTTGGGGTGATGGCCCTGTGGCTGGTCCCCAGTTCTGTGCTTGAAGCTGAAATCAGCAGAACGGGGGCGGCCAGGTCTTGGGCCCCGTCTCCTGGAGCGCTGGGTGGCTGCGTGACCCGTCAGCCTGCCCAGAACTGGGAGTGGGAGGGACGGCAGCGGTAGGGAGTGCAGTCCCCGGGGCCCAGGTGAGTCCGTGTGAGTTCACACGGGTGGCGCACACCAGGCTCTGCCCTGGGGGAACCATCCAGTTCCCGGGCTGTTTATGGGCGGGATGTTCTGGAATGTCAGGCTAAAATCTGGGGTCCTGGTCCCGGCCCCACCTTATGTGATCGCCAAAGCTGTGTCCTCAGGGAGGGCCCCAAGAGCCACACAGGAAGTGTCCCCCTCCCCCCTTTTATTTTTTAAATATGTTTCCATTGGTTTCAGAGAGGAAGGGCGAGGAAGAGAGCTAGGAGCATCAATGATGAGAAAATCCTGGATCGACTGCCTCCCACGCCGTTAACGTTAGGCTTGTGGTCTGTGTTCTTGGGCTGGAGAGCCTCCGTGCTGAAGCAGGTCCTGCGTGGGCTCCAGTTCTCGGGCCCAGAGCTGTGTCCTGGCTCGTCCTCTACAAGCTCCCGTCCTCAGGGAGGGGAACTGGACCAGAGTCGCGTGGTGCATCCCTGCAGGGCCAGCCCGGCGGGCAGCTGGGGCCTAGGAGCCAGGACGTGGTACTGTCAGCTCCCGACCATCCGTCCATCCCAGCAGCAGGCTCCTCGCATCTCACATGGGCTCGGTGTACAGAGAGGACCCCGCTGCCAGAGAGAGAAGGTCCGAGAGCCGACGGTTCATTCCGTGGCTGGTTCCCCAGCTGCTCCCTCGGCTGAAATGCCTAGGAACTCGGGCCGGGCACACCTGCGCTTCAGGCCTCGCGCAGCCACTCCCAGCAGCCCCTGTAGTTCTGGAACCAGTCTGACGAGGGCGTCTGCTGCTGTGGTTTCATGAATTAATTCAGGCCCTTCCACTCCTGGCCGTGCACGAGTCACAGGAGGGAACCGTTAAAAGTCAGATAGAACAAAGAGACGACTGTTTTCAGACAACAGGCAGTGCCCCCCTCCCAGGCCTGTCCCGCTGCCCAGGGTGATGGCCCACCGAGGGGCGGCCATGGAGAGAAGGGGGTCCTGGGCTGAGTGCGCCCTCAAAGCGTGAAGCCCTGCGGCCGAGCTGGGGCGGCCTGCTGGAGGGGAACCCAGGCTGCAGGGGGCTGGCCTGCGGTCCAAGCCCACCAGCCACACGGGACATCTCACCCCAGAACAGGGAGGCCTGGCGGCTGAAGCTCAGCCACAGCTCGGGAGGTCCTGCTGGTCTGCCTGCCGAGCCCACGCAGTGCCCTTCAGAAGGCAGTCGAGGTCAGCCCCCGGCGGGAGAACGGTCCACCTTCTAATAAAGACGACCACGGGGGAAGGAGCGGCTCCCGTCTGCCCGGTGCTGGCTGGCTGTGCGGACGCCCCTGCTGGGAGGCCCTCCTCCTGCCCTGCCTCCCGCCTCCTGCTCACCGCGGGCCTGCTGGGAGCCGACCTCAGCCGCATACTTACGGTGAAGGCTTCATGGATATGTGAGCAGAGAAAGGAGAAGTACAAGGAGAGCTTTTGGAAGCATTTACTATTTTAATGTATGTACAGAAGCCATTGAAATAGCTGAGACCCAAATCCTTCAGAAGGAGGGATGCAGCTGTAGATGTGGAGAAGGGGGCTCATGGAGGCACGAGTCTGTCCTCAGTTTGCAGGTTGATGTTAAAGCATCCATTAAATACACATCCAGGCAGCGGGGTACCAGCTGTCGCCGTTCAGAGACATGGAGGGACGCAGGTGCGTGTGGCTCGGAAGGAAGCCAGCCTGGGGGCTGCCGCCGTAGCTCCAGCTGCTTGGTGGGCGCTGGGAGAGGCGAGTCGCAGGGACGCAGGGGGCGGCTGGTGGGGGCATGTGGACTTAGCACCGCGAATGCTCCCGGTGCTGGGCAGGGAGTGCAGTGTGGGCGTGGAGTCTGACAGAATGAGCGGGGCTCTCCAGGGCAGTGTCCCGGCCAGAGTGCCTCCCCGCACGTCTCTGTTCAGCCAGGAAACTCGGGGTGCGCCCAGCAGGAGACGCGTCTGCGCCTCAGAAGAAGACTGCTGCTGGGCTCGGTGCTTTTGTGTTTCCTATGCGACTGCCTTTCTGCAGATGCGACAGATAGAAGAGGCCTTTGAAACAGCTGCTCCCTGGGCCGCCCAGAGCGCCCGCCAGGCCGCCGAGGCGTGTGCCTTGCGCCACACCAGCTGCGTTCCTGCTCTAGGCCTGTGGGTGACTTCTCAGACCTGCCATGGCGACCCATTGGAAACCACAAAACAGCCCTTCCTTGTTCTTGGCAGCCGTGAGGTAGGGCAGGATTGTGATGTGGCCACCAGCTCATTAGCATCACGTCTTTATCTTCGAGATGCCTTCCTCGTGTCCCCCTTCCCGGCCAGATACGCCCCCGACCAGCGTCCCCAGGCTCCCCGGCCGGACTTGCGGGGTGTGGGTGTCGGTTTGGGTCAGGGGATCGCACTTTGGCACAAATTGGGCTGAAGGCCACAAAGCGAGTTTTCAGTAGGTGCCTCCCAAGCAGAGGGTCCTGACGCCCCACGGCAGGTGTGCGCTTCCGCGAGCCGCATCCCTCACTGCAGGCAGGGCGACTTGGCACCCACTGGTGTAAGGAGGCGCCGCCGCCGGCC